GATAAAGAGACCCACAGCCAGACATCAGGCAAAGCTCTGTTAGTCTTGTAAAAGTGTGAGGGATAGAATTGAGCAAGCCAGACAGATCAAGGACACCATAGGAGGTCCTACAGAGTTAACTAATCTGGCTCCATGGGCTCTCATAGAGGCTGAACTACCAACTAAAGAGCATGAAATGGCTTGGCCCAGGCTCCCTATACATTTGTTGAAGACAGGCAGCTTGTTTTTCATGTGGGTCCCCTAACAATTGGAGCAGGTCGTGTCTATGACTCTGTTGCCTGTCATTGGATCCTCTTCCCTTACCTTGGTCTGCCTGATTGGGCCTCAGTGAGAGAGGATGTACTTATCCCTGCTGAGACTAGATGACTCATGGTGGGGTGGTACTCAACGGGGTCTTACCCTTCTCTTAGGATATGGAGGGAGATATGTATAAAGGCAGAACTGAGAGTAGAGGGAGGGGGTACAATTGGGATGTAATGGGAATAAAAATACATTTTAGAAAACATGGGGTGACAGTAGGCAACAGGAATGGATATTTTCTTAACGAGTTATATGCATTCATGAGATTATCAAAATGGTAGCCATTATATGATATCCATTTACTAATGAAAAATATTTTAAAAGAGAATTGTGACTGAGAAATGGAAGTGCTGTCAGATAGAGTTGACTGCAATGTTTAGATAATTCTATCACTTATCATTCCAGGAGACTTACTCAGAAGGAAACTCTGGGTCTTCAGGAAACAGTTATCATGACAAAATCAGTTATACAGAAAAATAGAAAACAAGGAAATGATGGATTGAAAATCATTAGGATACAGAACTTTCTGACTGTTAGATGGGGATTAATCAGATAGGAGGGAATACCATAATTTCAATTGCCCAGATGTGGTGAATGGGGGCTCTGATCCACTCTAGTCTCCTATTGAGGTTACCAGATAAAGTAGAAAAACAGAGAATAATGTTACATAGCAGTAAAATCTGTTACTAACACTATGGCCATTTGTCTCATTGGAATAGACATTGTTAATTCAAGAATTCAAAACAGACATAACTTCCTTAAGTTTTCATAGAGAAGCTCTCACTAATATCCTCCCTTTTGATTTTAAAAAATTCCTTTTCTCTTTACTTTTTTTGAGTATGAGTGCTTTGCCTTTAAGGATATGCACCATATGCATGCCAGAACCCTTTAGAAGGCAGAAGAGTGTGCTGGATCCCTTAGATTTGGAATTGTAGATGGTTTGAACCACAATGTTAGTCCTGTGAACTAAAGGCAGGACCTCTGTAAGAGTAACAGGTGTTCTTATACACTGAGCCACCTCTCCAGTCCATCAAATCTCCTCTTAGTTCCACCAGATATCACCTTGTCATTTATCTTTAGTCTGTCTTGCCTGCTTCTTTATTTGTTTATGTTTCGTTTAGTGTGTGTGCTTATGAGTGTGCACAAGAATGTGCAAGTGTACACATAAAAGCACAACTTGTGTGAGTTAGTTTTTTCCTTCTACCATATTGGTCACTTGGATCAAAGCTAGATTATCAGGCATGGTGGCATTGATTTTTTTCCCCAGTAAACAGTAGCTTCTTTATATTATCAACTCTCATTTTGGAAACTTTATGCGTAACTCATCTAAAAGATTGTTCCAAGTATTTAGCATTCAACAAACTTCTCCATATATCTGGGTAAAATTTTAAGGTGCTCCTAACTGCATGAGACCTTAAAACTTTAGTCACGTAAACTCCAAATTCCTAGACATAAAATTAGTCTTCCTATAAACCCTGGTCTTAGTGGTCAAGTGTTCTGTATTTTACATTTTGTATTGGCTGAGCTTGAATTACATTAATATTTCTGACTGGTCATTAGTAATTTAATGAACATTCAGAAATATTAATGTAAGTATCAGTGAAGACTTAAAGCATAGTCTTCATATGTTTGAGGTTAGCTTTTGAAGAAGACAGGAAAAAGAAATAAAAAAAAAAAAACACCAGTATCATTCTTCATGACAAGAATTTTTTTTCTGGAATCTTATGTCAGACCATTAGAATTATTTTACAAACAGATACAAAATAACTATTGAGTCATTCAACCATATAGATGTTTTTATTAATTATTTACTGTATTGTTAATCTAAGTAGATACTAAAGATTTGTTACTGAATGAAACAATTCTCATAGAATTAATACTTCAATAGACAGTATACTAGAGAAGAAGCAACCTTTTAAAAGATAGAATGTGGTAGGGAAGAATGCATGGAGCTTATTTAAGTAGGATAGGTAGCTATGCCAGTGGTATTAGAGCAAGAAACTAAAATGGGCACCTTGATTCTACTCCACAGTGAATGAAAATATTTAAAAATTTAAAATAGGTGTAGACTAATATTGGGATGTCTTAAAACACATGTTTACAGACATTTATCTTGTGAACACTTCATGTACAATAAACACCAGTCTATAAAGGCATACCTACTGGTGCTGTAGTGTTGTATAGATATAGAATAGATTATACCCAAATATCATGGGAATAAACAGGAACTATTTTATTCTATCTGTGTCTAACTCCACAGGATGAAAATCATACTTAACATGCTTATCAGGGCCAAAACCTGTGCTAGACATGTCAAAGGCCCTAGAGAAGAACCCACCACCATTCCCCTCAGTAGACATAGTATCAAACCAATTTGCAATGACTTATCATTAGATATACAGATTAGTACATCTCCCAACCCTTATAAAAGATTACTTTTGTAGTACATAGTGATTAACAAAAAACCAAAATGAAACAAACAAACCAAACAAACAAATAAATGAAACACTTGCCAGTGTGCAGAGAATTGAAGACTGTGGAAGGTTCAACAGTATATGGACTTCTATACCATACCTCCTTTTCTCCAAATTCAGAAATCATTGTGTGGGAATGATGGTGGATGACTACAAATAAAAAGTATTTTCAAGGCACCACGGAATAATTGCAAATATGACCTCAGGGTAGCACTTTTCCCCTGATATTTCATTTATTTATATTTCAGATGTTATCCCCTTTCCCTATCACCCCCATTAATCCCCTATCCCATCCCTCATCTTCCTTTTTTGCTTTTATACTGTTTAAATTACATGGAAGTATTAAGGTCAGTTCTAAGTTGAGGAACTAGCAATACAATAGATGCAAATAGTCAAGGAACAAGCAAGACAATAAACTCAGATAGTCAAAGAACTTGCAGGACAATAAACAGACTTCTATGTTCACTCCTGTGATCACTATTTCTAAGGGTTTATCAGGATGATCAAAATATTTGAGCCTACTTCCCAGTCTTAGCACAAACCTACTTCTTTGTTCTAGCTTAAGATTTAGATTCCTACTTAAAAGTACTTCTTTGTTCTAGCCTAGGATTTAGATTTCTGCCTGAAGTTAATTTTTTGTTCTAGCCTATTGTCAGATTCCTTCCAAGCAGTCCATTTCCTTGTCCTTGGCCAATGTCAGATTCCTTCCAAGCAGCCCATTTCCTTGTTCTAGATCAATGTCAGGTTCCTGCCAGGCAGCCTCAAAGGCTCTCCAAATCTCCCCCCCCCCTTTTACTGCTCAAACAAGACTGAGCCTGTCTTAGGGTGTCCTGACAAGAATGCCTGCCTTACCAGTCATGGAATATGCATTTTCAAAAGCAATGCAGTTCTGTCTTAGGTTGGTGAGGCTCTTTGCATAATCTTACCCTTCCTTGTCTTGCCAGCCTGTTAAGTTAGTAGCTCTGTCTGGAGGTCCATTTTCAGTTTCAGGTCATGTACTTTGGCTGCCAATCTGTTGATGTAGTTAGAGACAAGCATTAACACCATGGACAGGAATAAAAGTATTCCCAGGACAAAAGGAGCTAGCCTGATCAAGCTATATATGCCATTCTTGAGGTTTGACCAAAATGGAAATACTGACCTCAAGCCATGGATAATTTTATCAGCATTATCTGAAGTATCAAAGCTCAGCAGAGCAGCATTCTTTAAATTCATAATCTCACTAGGCAAAGTTAAAACATTCAGAGAGGTGTTAGAATTATTCAAAATATGCTACCGTTGTTTTTAAACTTTTTTTCTAATTATGATTATCATTGTAAATATAAATCTTCTTGTATACTCAACAAATTAAGGCCAGGTGGTGGTGGCGCATGCCTTTAATCCCAGCACTTGGGAGGCAGAGGCAGGTGGATTTCTGAATTTGAGGCCAACCTGGTCTACAGAATGAGTTCCAGGACAGCCAGGGCTACACAGAGAAACCCTGTCTCGAACCCCCCCCCCCAAAAAAAAAGAAAAAGAAGTCAACACATTACAAACATTTTTGCTAGATGATCAACAAAAGTAGCTGTCTTAACTTCTTGTGTCACAGCAATTGCAGAAGTAGTGGTCCTAGCAATTAACTTAACTAAGCTGTTATACCAGGAATAATCAAGCCCACTTCCCTCTTGTTTCTGCTTAAAGCCCAGTTCACTTCTTCCAGCACTTTCAAGCTTTTTTTTCAGAGAATGAAGATTAGCACTTTTGGCATCTAGATCCCCACACCAGATAAAATCCTAGCACAGAGAAGAAACATGGGCATGAAGTCCACAGATTGTTGAAGAGTTTTTGGCCACTTATAACTTCCAGAAGAAAGGTAAATTATCTATAAGGGAAAGGATCCTGATAGGTGAACTATGCTTCAGTGGAAGACTAAATACCAAGTATATACAGGTAGCACAAGATGAAATTGACAAAAAAGAAGAGTTGAATGTGTAGAGGAGTGAGTTTTACTGAGAAGAGTTTGAGAGCAGATGAACATGATCAAGATATATTGTATAATGTTCTCAAAGACATATTAAAAACTACAAAATTGAAGTGCAATAAAATATAATAGCTATGCACAGTGAGAAAAAAAGGAGATTCAGGCAAAAGAAATAGCAAGAAGGTGAATAGCAAAACTTCAGATGATGGACTTATTTGTCTTGGGTAATTGTCATTATTATAGTGAGTTTTACAAAACAGATTACTCTAAGAAAATATTTTCTTACCAAGATGTCGCTTCAGAGCACCCTTAATCTCATTATTCCTGAGGCTGTAGATCAGGGGGTTCAACATGGGAACCACCACCATGTAGAACATAGATATCACCTTGTTCTGGTCTGTGGAGTATCTGGACTTAGGCATCACATAAATGAATATAACTGTTCCATATAGCAGAGTGACAACAGTGAGGTGGGAGGTGCATGTGGAGAAGGCCTTCTGTCGACCTTCAGGGGAGTGCATCTTCATAATGGTAATGAAAATATAGGAATAGGAGATGGATATGATAATCACTGTTAGCATAGTAACTGAGGCAGCAGAAAATGAGATAACAACAACAGAGACACTGACGTCAGAACAAGATAGTTCCATCAAAGGAGCAAAATCACAATAAAAGTGATTGATTCTATTTGGTCCACAGAAGAACAAGGAAAAGAAGGAAAGAGTGAAAAAAGAAACATTAAGAAAACCCTCTATATAACATCCTACAACCAACTGGATACAGGCTTGTGTGGACATTTTGGCGGAATAAAGAAGTGGGTTGCAGATTGCTACAAAGCGATCATAAGCCATGGCAGCCAGAAGGAAACATTCAACTGTCCCAAAGAAAGCAGCTGAGCCAAACTGTACAGAGCATCCAATGTAGGAAATGGTATTTTGCTTTATTAGGAAGTTAACAAGCATATTGGGTGTGACCGATGATGAAATGCCCATGTCAATAGAAGCCAGGTGGCTGAGAAAAAAGAACATGGGGTGATGGAGCTGGGAGGAGACTCTGATGAGAAGGATGGTGCTGAGGTTCCCAAACATAGTCACCAGGTAGATGCAAAGGATGATGGTGAAGAGGACAACTTTAAGGACTGGGTCATCTGTTAGTCCCAATAAAATGAACTCTGTCACTGCAGTATGGTTCCCATCTTTCTGGAAAGCCATCAGACAGTGTAGCTGCTGCTATATTGAGGCTGTGATGGAGATATTACAAAATGGAATTCATAAATAGGCCACTTCATTTTATTTTATCAGGGCATGGAAAGCATTACAAACTAATATATTATTCAAAACATTGGATCCATTATTGATGTTTTACTAGCATTGTCATTATTTGTACATTTATGTGCAATAATTATTTCAAAATTATTTAAGTACAAATGCTAGAAATGTGTTACAAATAATAAATAATTTTATTTACATTTACTTATAATGAAATATACAAGGTTGTCATTAAGGCTAAAGTTTAAAATTATGAGACTTTGCTTGGTAAGAAAGCTTTCTAGGTAAAGATTCTGGTTACCAAGCTGACTTGTTACAGCTAGAGTTTGAAACCTGTATCTGACAAGATGGGAAGAAATAACCAATTCCTGAAAGTTGTTCATTGTTACCCACACATATACTGTGTTACCAGTACCCCCTTAAACAAACAAATAGATACATGAATACACAAATAAATAGATAGATAAATAAATATAAAATGATGTGAATCTTAAGACAATAACAACATATTTATTATAAGTTTAACAAAGGAATAAAGTATAAAAGCATAGAATTAAGCAGTGAAGACTTAAGCTGTTGCTATTATTAAAATCTTATTACATAACCAGAATAGAATTAGAAAACACTTTTACGTCTTTCCATTTTTATTCCTATGAAGTTACATTGTTCTTTTGTCATTTCTATATTTTAGTAGAAAAATATTTTAAGTTAAGCAACACACACATGCACAGAAAGTAATCAATTTTTGGAACTTCAGAGTTGACTCAGCTATTAAGAGCTCTTGGTGAACTGGAAAAAAACAGTGTTTCATACCCATTCAGCCAACTGAATTTTCTAGCAGGAATCTGTTGTTACAGTTCTGAGGACCGAAAACTCTCTTGTGGTCTTCATACTCACCATGCACACACGTGCTATAAGGTGTCCCTACAGGAAACATTTAGATGCAAAATAAAAATAACAAATCTTTAAAAAGAGAAGTAAATACAAACACCAGGTAGGTTGATCTGGGAGTCTTCCTTTTAGTAACCATGCTATAAAATGATGGGTAGCCACACAGTTGAGGGCCATATAAATTAGCACCAATATCAGAGTGAAATTTCAGCTTTCTGATGGAAAATGTTGTCTGTAAAACTGAATAAAGATCACATTAAATTTACAAACCTGACTTCCAGTTGTAAACTCATTAGATATTTTAGATTCTTCTAAATAGGTCATTATTCTTTAAAGTAATTTGAAATATCAATTTTATCATCATATTTTCTGAATCTACAGCATGATAATAGTAATTCTTTAGACAGACACACTCCTTTTCCAGTGTCACAGTGTTTTCTAAGTGAAATATTTTGGAATGAATTCGCATGATTTTCAACAAAGAACAGTGTCCAGTACTCAACCTCAGAAGTTAAAAGATTCATTAAGGGTCACCCAGCAAGGGGCAGATTGACTGCCATCCCTTACATTCTATACTTACATCCTCATTTGTCTACAGTGATTCCTGTGTGGCCGACACATTCACTCCATAAACAAAGCAGGTCATTGCACAGGATATCCCCTAACAGTAAGCCGCCAAAGTATTTCAAAGCTAGTGACCTTGTTAGCCTGCCAGTGAATGCTACATACAAACAACTTTGAAGGTCATGTTGTTTTCTTGTCTTGCTAACAGATGGATAAATAAGGAATCTATGAAAACTTGTTTTAACACCTGATTATTCTGAACAATTTATTAATGAAATACAAGGAAATTCTATGAAAGTTTCTTTCCCATCTTCTGATATAACTGAGTAATTCCATCTGACATGTTTCTCCACCATGGTTTCAAATATACATTTTAAAGAATAAAGTATCTCCATTTAACAACAACGTTAAACTCTTACCTCTTGAAATAAGAATTCATTTTGAAATAAGAAGTTTAAAGTTATTATGATTTTATAGGTATAAATCTCTTTCCTACTGTCATTGTTTATCCCTGAGGATAAGTCCCTGCAGAGGCTCTTGATTCCAGTGTGAATTCAAATCATCAGTGATCATTACCTTTGCTCTGGTGAGTACTGAGCAAGTCATTACATACAAACACAATTTTCAAGGAGTCTGTTAATGTCAAGCAATCTCTTGTTTTCCTCTTTATGTGAGTATTGGTGCACTTTCATTTGGTGATTATGGAATGTACATGATAACATATTATCTTAGATAAATGTTCCTCAATTTGATATCTGTTTCAGGTTAGTTAACATTAGAAGATAAAAACTAGTCACTAAAACGGACCATTTTGTTTCTTTCATTCATGTGCATCAATTTTTCTTTTAGTATTTTAGTGACTGACATAATATACTCTATTATGTACTTAGGTGAATATAGGGAGGATTGAGATTCAAAATTGTGTAATTGTTTGAGGCACATACCGTTTTTACAGACAAGAGTATAAAATGTCATCATTACTTAGAAATTAGTGCATAGAAATATGTATATATGATCTCCAGTAAGAATTAACATTTCATAGTTTATACCTTAAACGTGTGGCATGTGGTCTCACCTTACATGCTATCTTGGAGGATGAAAGGTACAATAATTCTCCCCCTGAAAACTCACCTCAACATTCTCCTGAATCTTACTTTCATTAACTTCTACAGAGAACCCTTGATGGAATTCTAATAAAACTGGTTGACCCTAAGCATCAGTCAATTTTCAATCAAAGTATCTTCTGTCCAGCTTAACATAACTATCCTATGAGTGGCTATATCCAGTAGTGGTTGGAAACAGAAGCAGATACCCACAGCATAACATTGAATGGTTGGTGTGGACACCTAGGAAAGAGTTGGGGGGAAGTATAGAGGGCCTAGTAGATGGGAACTCCATAGAAAGATCATCATGTCAACAAACCTGAACCCTTGGGTGCTCTGAGAGACTGAGCCACCAACCAAAGAACATACATGAACTGGAATGTGGTCCCCAGCACATATGTAGCAGACAGGCAGCTCAATCTTCATGGCTGCCCTGTCTGACCTTGAAGGAGATGATGTGCCTAACCCAGACGAGAATTGCTGTTCCCAGGTAGGGAGGGAGATACAAAGAGAAGAAGAAGGAATGGGAGAGGGAAGGGGCTCAGTGAAGGAGGGACCAGGAGGGGGAGCAGCTTTTGAAAAAATAAAGGAATAAAACAAACACACAAAAATCAAAGTCCTGTCCATTCTGGCAGAGGAGAGACAGAGACATGATCAGTACTGAAAACTCTGTGGTACACTAGCAGGCAGTATGAATCAATGAATGAGAGAACAGACCCTGTATCAAAGAAAAATGACATATCCAAACTGACAGCAACATTGCCTTCTGACCTTCATATGCATACTATGGCATGCATGAACCTTAACTCACATAAATACATGCATGCTTCTTGCAGGCACACATAATACATCAATATACATATACAGAAAACAAAGCTCCCCTTTCTTAGTTACATATTTTTGCTTGATGTAAATTGTAAGGTGGTTTCATGTAATCCAGATTAAATTTGGACCTGCTAGACAGTTATGGAAGACTTTGAACTTCTGGTTTTCCTGTCTCCATCTCCCAAGTACTTAATTTACAAGTGTTCAACACTCAGATTATGTGGTATTTGAGATCTAGTATAGTACTTTATGAATGTCAGTCAAGGATTCTACCAATTGGCCTACATTAATAGGCAATTATCCTGGTCTAGTTTAATGATTTACACACACACACACACACAAACACACACACACACACACACACACAATCTTTTGTTTGTAGATTACAGTGAACAGAGATTGAGCTTAAACTACTGTTCTAAATATATTTGTGGTTCAGGCCAGAATTGATTTAGCATTATTAATTAGGCCACATTGGATGCTAGAATATATTGTTTGAATGACTGTCACCAATGAGGCTACAAATCAAATATGAGAAAATCATTCATTCATTCCTTTCAGACATATATATTAAGTATTTGTTTTATTCTAGAAATCTATTGAGCACTGTAGATAGGCTAAGGGAAGTATATCTTATAGGAAATTCAGAATTCACTGGATAAGCCATAGAAAAAATAATATATTACATATATTGGCATCTTAATCAGAAGCCCCAAATACTGTGTACAATACAGCACCAAGACTGACTGTACCATCATGTTATTGAAATCAAGGTCAGGCATGTTTATTCTCATTAATCATAATCACTTTGATTCGAGATAACATAAAGAAGCAAGTACAGAAATAGGTAAATGTAACCTGCTGAGTTCTCTTAATGTTGCTTCTGTGTATATGATATCAATACTAACCACTTTGTATTAGACAACAAATTAGAGGGCTCATCTTCTGAAGAGACTAATTCTTCCTTATTACTCATGAGCAGCCTAATCAACAGGAAGCAAATCATACCTAGTATTAGAAACCTAACCAAGTATCCTGGGCTAGTGAGTTTATCTGTCTTAAAGAAATGTACTACTGCCACTTTACTAGATCAGCTTTTAATTGCATTCTAAATCTTATTTTTGCAAGTTCTCACTCCACATCAAAGAAACTTCTCATCAACATATGAAGATTATTACAAAAAACTACAAAATGGTTTTAATACAGAGATTAAATAAATATGAGGAACCCGGCCTAATGGTTACCTTTATAATACAAGTTCTGCATCCAAGGCTCAGGAAACAACTTGAAAGGAGGAAGAAAAAGAGGAAAGAGTAAGAGGAGCAATAATTAAGTTGTGATGTCTTCTAGAACCAACAGGGAAACTATACTCATAACACCAACTCAGAAATATGACTATCTATGTAAGACTGGAACAATGACAACACAGATATATTTGCCAAAGTAGAAGGATGACTCTCATGGAGTTCTACTCCTAGACATATGTTTACATTTTTTTATGTTTTCATACATGAATGCACTATTTACATTATTTTCGAATAACTCAAAGTAAAAATATTCC